GGATCACCCATCACCAGACCCCTGTGTGAGCAGCCAGAGTGGGAAAGACCCTGCCCGGAGCCGCACGGTGGGAGTGAATTACCTACAGCACAGATGATTGGAAAGGATTTTCTAGCTAAATTGCTGAGCAGATGGATTTACCCTGGACTGGTCCTTGTGGACTCTGGAACATTTTCTCTTCTGTCACAGTTCCTTTTTATGACCTGCCATTTGCTCCAGCAAGTGAGAAGTGAGCCCTTGGCGCCCAGCTCCTGCTCCGGCTGCCGTTCAGGAACGCGGCAGCATCGCTGCTGGGAGCCGCAGATCCTTTTCAGGAAAGTGCCAGGGCCTGGCAGGATGCCCCTGCTCACTCTGGCTCCCTGGGCACACGGGGGCTAGCAGGGGCCAGAGGGGTGGGAAGGGGCATTGCCGGCTGAGGCAGAGGAGTTGGCAGCTGCCGGCAGTGCAGGATGTTGTGCCAGCGATGCAGCCGGGAGTTTATAACGAGCCGCCAATGGTTACAGTGCCCACCTGCAGCGGGTGCACGGCCAGAGGGGGGATCCGGGGCTCTGTGGCACTGGGGAAGAGTGAAGCCCCATCCCAGCTTGGTACACCCCCTCTGTGCTGGCAGCATATACAGAGGGAGGGTGGTGACCCTGGGGAGAGGGCTGGCTGTTCTCCTCACTCCACCATCAGTTCTTCCATGCAGTGATTCTGCCACCAGCACTTCCACACAGTGATTCCACCAGTTCCTTCAGCTTCCAGTGTCCCAGTTGATGACTGGTATTTCTCTTTCTTAGAAGGGGAAGATCAACACCATCTACCACCCAAAGCCCTTCCCCTTCCTCCAGCAGCATTCCTGCCATTTACATTAAAGGCTATAACGGGTTGGAGTAAATGGAGCAGGTTTGCAATTAGTTTTCCAAGTACTTATCTCATTAAAGTAAATGAATTATTGATTTAGTGACACTCATGCTTTTAGTGAGCGGCACGGTGCCATCCCTGCTCGGTTCCCCGGCTCCTCGCGGCGGGGCCTCACACTCCTGCTCCTGTGTGCACACGTGTGCGGGCACGTGGGGGCGAGTGGCCACTCTGCCTCTGCCTTGGCCTGAGAGCCAGTGTGGGTGTGAGAGTCGTGTCCGTGGGAGCAGGGACATGGCTTTGTGAGGGGCCCCGTGGCGGTGTGGGTGGGTATTGGGAGCAAAGCCCCCAGGGAGGGATGGGCTGGGGACCCACTGACTGAAGGCTGTGCCCAGTTCACAGTCTGGACCCCAGTGCTCTGCAATGCTGCTGTGGGCACTGCAGCTGTGCCAGGACACCTCCTGCCAACCTGTGCGTGCTGTGCAGAGGATGATAAGGGAGGCGGGGGGGAGGCAGCTCACCCATGCCACAGGCACTCAGCTTGCTCGTGTCCATCAGCATGGCACAGAGCTGGCGTGGGGCTGCCAGGCAGTATGAGGGGGCTGGGGCTGCCTGTGGCTCCTCCAGCCATCCTGGGACTCACCAGGGCAGGGAACGGGGTGTGTGGGGTGTGCTTGGGGCTGGCACTGCCCAGCACAGCACGGCTGCAGGAGGGTGAAGCACTGATGGGCTGTTCTGGAGCCAAATGCTCATGGCTGAACCTGCCACCCCCGGCCAACTGCTGATTCGGCGCTTTTGCGCTTCTCTGTACAGAGATTTAATCTCTCCTGTAAGATAAAATAGTCCATTAATGGGAACCTGCCTGCTTGGAGCCTCCCCTCGCCGTGGTCCAGGCAGGAAGGGCTGCACTGTCCTGCTGAGGCTGTTGCTGCTGGGAGCACTGAGAGCGGCCTGGGGGATGCCCAGCCCCACATGGGGCAGCTGGACACACTCCCCTGTCAATCCTGTGCCCCTGTGTCTGAGGTGGAGTGGGATGGGAGGCTGTGGGAGGGATGCCAGTGGGATGAACTGGGAATGCCAGACTCCTCTGGCAGTGCTTGCCATGCCAGCTGGTGCCATGCAGCTCTGCCATTGGGTTCCATGGTCGGCATGGGCATTGGAAGCAGTTTGATCTCCTTGCTGGGAAGGAGAAGGTGGGGATGCCACAGGAGCCACTGTCACCAGGTGGGATAAAATGCTGGGGACCGGCAGAAGTTGTAGGAAGGATTTTGGGTTCACAGCTTTTGCTCAGACGGGGTTTGGTGACTGGTGATGTTGGCATGGGCTGTGCTGAGTGTCCTGGTGCTGTGCCCTCACCCCGAGGGACCCGTGGCTGGAGCTGGTGTTCAGCCCTGTGCTGGGACCCTGCCTGTCCCCACAGCTGGATTTGGGAGGGGGTTCCCAAAGTGAGGGCACTGCCATGTTTCGTCCCTGTCCCCAAGATAGGACTGCTCTTTCCAGACTGGAGCCACTGGTTCAAGGATTCTCCTGACCAGTCCTAGAGCTGTCCTGGTGATGGCCCCTCACCAGCCCTGCCATGAGAGCCAGGTTCCTCTGGGCACTGCCTGATCATCTCCTCCCCTCTCAACCAGCAGCGTGGCATGGCCCAGGCTCAGCCATGGGCAGAGCAGCATAGAGGGGAGGCACATCCCGAGAGCTGTGGTGCAGGAGCCAGCCCCCATCCCAGCCCCTGCCCCTCCTGCCCCCACCTCCAACGCTGCTGGGAACGGGGCATTTTATCTTTCTTAGTTAAAAAAAAAAAAAAAAAATTCTCATTTAATTAAAAGTGTTGACATTGTGCCTGGCCATCCCACCCGCTGGAGAACGTGGTTATAAATTAAACATTAAACCTTTAATGGCCCATAAAGAAATATTCGCTGCTGTTCTGTATATGGGGATATAAATAGAGAGGGCTGCGGGGGGAGGGGCGAGACATTATTTTTCCTCAGCCAGATAATCTTTGCTAATGAATTTAATTAAAATCAAAATTAATTTAGGATTTTTGGTGGAGGAAAGGGGGGTCAAAATGTACTTTGAGAAACTACCAAGAAGTTTCCCAGCGGATCAAAACCAGGCCTGCCTCAGGGTGTGCCCCATGGGTGCAGCATCCATGGACTCCATGCAGCTGGGTGGCACGGGTTGTGTTTCCTGTGAAGCACCCCTGATTTGGATCTGGGTGGTTTTAGCTGGGTTGGGATCACCTGTTCTGGCAGCAGGTCCCTGTGAGGCTTCACGAGGCTCCAGCTGGAGCCAGTCAGCCCAGAGCTCTGCCAGGAAAGCAGGGACTGAGGCAAGATCTCCCCAGTAACGCCCAGAGCTGCTCCTGCCCACCTCCCATCAAAGCTCTGCCAGGGGTTTCCCTCTCCCACTTCGGTGCATGTGGACAGGGAGGCTCTGGCTGAGCATCCCTGCTCTCTGCAGTGCCGGGACCACTGGAGATTTCTGCCCGGGCTGGTGCTGGGCTCAGCGATTCCCTGTCTGTGCCAGCGAGAGCAGCACATCCCAAGTGCGGCACATCCCGGCTGCCGGGCCCCGCGCTGCCCTGGGGAGCTTCTCAGAAGGCGCCTTCCTTGGGAAATGTGTTTGGGAAATGCAGCGTTACCCATCGCTGAGCCTCCCCCAGGAGCGCACGGTGTCAATTATTCATTGTGGAAGAGGCAGGCTGTGCTCCCAGCGCTCCCAGCCCTGCTGCTGGAGCTCTGTGCCTGCTGTGCCGTCTCACAATCCCAGCCGGGATCCTGGTGGGCGCTGCTTCAGCGAAGCCATGGAAGAGCTCAGGAGTGGTGGCTGCAAGGCAGGCAGCTCTGCTGAGCCCACGACTGCGGGGGTGTCCCCACACTGCTGGGAACCACGGAGTTCCCAAACAGCTTTTTTAGGACACCCAGTTTCCCAGAGCTGGATCTGCCCTGGCCTCTGGGGCTGGGGAGGGGAGACTCCCAGCCTGGCAAACAAAACGTGCTGGGCAAGAGTGTTCGGGAGGGATTTTATCATAAGAGTGCTAATGGAAGTCAGCACCAGCCTAATGAGCTGTGCTCCTCCATGAATCTGATTCATTGAGGCAGGAATTACCATAATTGATTATCCTGCTGCGTGACTGAGAGCCGTGTTTGCTAACACAAGTGCCTGGGAACCAGCTCTGTGCTCCCTGAGCCGTCGCCACGTGTGGCTGGGCCTCCGCACCCTCCGCGGGCCCGTGCGCTCACCGGGACCGGCCGCGGGTTTGGGGCAGCATCTGGGCCTGGTGTCCCTGCACCCACACTCAGCACCCAGGGCTGCCTCATCTCGGGGTGCTGCTCCTGGGGTGGGGGTCCAGGTGTCACAGCTCCATCATCTGGGAACGGAGCTGTTGGGCAGGTGGGACTCAACACTTCCAGGTCACCGAAGCAGTGGTTATGGACACGCGCAGTCCTCTCTCTCTCCTTAACCACTCCTGGGATGTATCAGCCGTTCTCATTATTTCTGAGGGTCTGACATGATTGATGAACGTTTGCATTGGCCATGCTGCAAAAGCTAATTAGTTGAAGTGCAGCTTTCAGGAAGTTTTCTTTGAAATTTGGCTTAATTTTCCAAGAAGTGCCCGGAGCCAGGACAACAGTGGAGCTGTGTGCTACAGGGATTGCTCCTCACAGGACCATGTCACTGTGCTGGGGTGGACAGAAAGTTTAGGATACACTAAACCAGCTGTGCAGCCAGTGCTTCAGCGATGGCTGTGTCCTGTCCCACGTTGTGGATGTGCGTGGGGCCGGCTGTGCCTTGTCTCACCCCATGTATGTGTGCAGGTCTATAGATGTGCTTGCAGGGTCCAGGGGGCCAAGGAAGGGACCCGTGGTCTGTGGGAGCTGGGTTGGGTTTGAGGTGCACTGATGGAGCTGGAGGTGGGTGTTCTGAGCCTGTCCAGGGAGCTGGTGGGTGCTGGTGCTGCTCATCTGCCCTGGGTTGAGTCCCCAGCCTGGACACTGGCTCCTGACCAGCACAGGCTTCCCAGCGCCTGGGAGATAACACTCACATCCGTACTCATATCCCAACATTGTGCAGTCGATGAGCAGACAGCATTGACTGTAACAGGTTAGTGATGATGATCATTGATTTTAATTCTTCCTCCTCTTTCCCTTCTTTTCTAGAGAGCACAGCACGAGCACCGTGGGAGGGACTGAGCTGAATAAAAGGTACGGAGTGTTTGGATCCAAGTGGCTGTACTGGGCTCTGCCTTGGCTGCTCCAGGGGTCCCTCCTGCATGCTAAACCCTGCATGTGAGGGGCAGGTGATGGGTGCTCAGCACAAGGCTGGCCAGGACAGGGCAGCACCTCAGCCTGCAGAGCAGTGGTCAGGGGCAGGTGGGCTCAGAGCCACGCATGGGGGAGGGATGGGAAGGCTGCCTGCTCCCCTCTGCCAGCAGCCCCAGTACCCCACCCCCTGGGTGCCGAGCCCCCACGCAGGCGTGACACGATGACATAAGTCCTGCGTGAGGAGAGCTGAGGCTGCCATGTCTGTGAGTGTCCGTGTGTGCTGACTTGCTGTCCGTCTGTCCGTCCATGCTCTGTGCAGCTCCTGGGAGCCATCCCTGGGGAAGCCTCTTGAGGGGACCCTGCCCTTACTGGGGGGGCAGCAGCCCCCAGCCCTATAGTGGCCTGGACCTGGCGGTTGCCCACCACAGGGTATGTTTGCCCCCAGGGTCCTGCAGCCTGTGCTGGGAGGTGTCACAGCAGCTCGTGGTGTCCCCTGGGCTGAGGCAGGTTGCATGTGAAAGGTGGGCCAGACGGGCTGCCCTCTGCCAGCCTGGTGTCTGCTGGGCAGATGAGAATGACTCCTTCCCATCATACCCTCGTGTTGCTGGACTTCACGGCAGTTGGAGGATCCTGTCACAGAGGGGACACCACATCCCCCCGAGGTCCATCCCACTGAGCGTAGCACAACCTGTGCTCCCCTGTCAAAGCTGGTGAAGCAGAGGAGCAAAAAAAGCCGAGGGGCTGGGGAGGAGGAGGCTGGTGCATCCGTTGTTCTGGGTCCCGGCATGGGCTGGGGATGCCAGCGGGACCAAGGAGCGGTGAGGGCCAAGGCAGTGGTTCTGGGCACTGGGAGCTGCCACCATGCAAACCAACGGAGGAAAGAGGTGTTGGGGCAGGTAGCACTCCTGTCCCTGTCACCTACAGGACAAGGATGGAAGTGACCTGCCAGAAGGGGACTGTGGTCTGGAAGGGTCCTGAGGTGTTGTGGGAGATGTGGATAAAGAGCTGCTCAAAGGAGCAGGATGGCTGGGGCAGGAGCAGGGCTCGCAGGCAGCATAAACCAAGAGCCAGCATGAACGGGAGGAAGGCTGGGCTGTGGGTGTGAGCCTGGGGGGCACGTGCTGTTTGGCAGCAGTGGTGCGGGCTGCAGGGCCGGGGCTGCCCCCACCTCTGGCTCTCGTGTCTGTGCTGATGCCTTGGCAGGACTCCCTGTGCTGAGGAGAGGGCTTTGCTCCCTCCCAGTGTCCGACTGCGTGCGGGGTCGGGAATCGCGGGTCCGGTGGCTGCGGTGCCGGAGCGCGCTGGGCTGTGGCCACACGGGTGCGTCTGGAGAGGAGACGTGTCTGCGGCGGAGGGGAGGGCAGCAGGGTGGGTTCCTGCGGCTGATGCCCTATACCTGGTCTGGGTGGGAGAATTGGGATGTGGCACGGGGAACTGGGTGCTGTTTGCACAGGCACCTCGGGGTGAGGGGTGTGTGCAGGGCTGGGGGCTGCAGCAGCAGAGGGTGGAACAGCACTGGGGAGGTGCATCTGCCCCTGCCCTGGTTCCAGGATGGTTCTGCCCCCCTGCCCACTGACAACCTGGATTTTGGCTGCTGGTGATTGAGGAGTTCCATTCTGCTGCATTTGCCCCCTCTGTCTCTCTCACACAAGAGCAGGGGAGGTCTGGCAGGCTGGGGGGACCCCAAGACATGACTGAGGCTGCATTTGCAGGGCACAGAGAGGAGACGTTTTGGATCAGTGAAATATAAGAGGGAGCAAGGAGCCCCCCACCCCAGCTGCCTGCAGTGGTGCCTTTGCTGCTTTATCACCTCTCCCAGTGCTGAATTATTGAGAGTGTTGCTCTCGTTTATTGCCGTGCTGGAGGAGAGCTGCCTCTGCCCGGCACTGCTCTGAATATGATTATGGGGCTGGAGATGTCAGAGCCCGCTGGGCCCCGGAGACCGATCTGCTGCCCCCCTCGCTCCTGTGCTTCCCTTATCCTTATTTATTCTCTCGCTCCTGTGCCTGGTTCAGCGCTCACGGTTCCCTCGCTCCCTCCACTGTGCAGTGCCCCAGGAGGATGGAGATTTAGTGCCTGAGGAGCAGCACTGCCCAGCTGCTGAGCCTGCAGCATGTGCCGGGGGTGACTGGGGGCTCGTGCCCCACAGGATCCAGCTACCCCAGGACTCCCCTGACTTATTCCCATGGCTGACCCTGCAGCCAACTCTCCTCTGTGTCCCCTGCGAGATCTCTGCTGGTCGTGCTGCTCTGCCCTGTGAGATAGGGTCCTGGACGTCTGTGGGGGGCAAGGCTGGGCTTTGAGGGATGGTGGCTGCCCTGTTGTTGTTAAGGATTCCTGGGTGCCCTCTCATGCAGTCGGAGGTGGCCACATCCTGGGCTGCAGGGACCATCCCCATTGCTCCTCACTGCACAAGGAGGCTGGTGCCTGCTGGCTCTGTCCCCCTTGGGCCACTACTCGGCTGCTCCCACAAAGGGGGGGATGCTGGGCCCCCCCAGGAAGCCCGTCCTGGCAGAACCTGCCCGACCATGGCCGAGCGTCCCTGCCTGCTGGGAGCAGAATGGGAGCAGGGGGCTATGGAATCCGCTGTGGCCAGGGTGGCCAGGAGCCGGCTGGCACCTTGCAGGTTAACCGCGAGCAGCGGATTCCCTTATTGACAGGGTAGCTTGAAAAATGCTGAGGCAGGACATCGGCTCCTCGGAGTGTCAGCGGAGCCCACGCTGCGCTGGTGAGTGCCCACGCTGCTGCTGCTGCGGCCCCAACGCCCAGCCTGGCCCCCGACCCCCACCCTGCCACCCCTCTCACTGCTGGGGTTGGTTCCCCTCTCACGGTCGTCCTTCCCTTTGCTCTTGAGGACGCCAGAGAGGATTTCATTTTTATTCCTCCTCTCCCGTTTTTCCCTGGGGTGGATAAGCTGCTGCCTGCCAGGGCTGCCCTCCAGCCCCTGCCCTCCCGCAGCAGCATGCTGGAGGTCGAACAGCGGCTCTGAGCCGCGGCGCTCACGCCGCAGGGAGGGAGGCGAGCGCGCAGGGCTCCGGGAGCGCCGGCCGTGGGCGCTGGAGCCGGACAGACAGAGGGGACAGAGCCCACCCAGGAGGGGCGGCGGCCAGCACAGCCAGCATCTGGAGCAGCCCACTGCCCTCCTGCCGACCCCACAGAGCAGCTCAACACCTGGCCACCAACATGATGATGTATTTTTGGGTAGGTACTTCCGCCAAGGATGGGCACTTCCCTCCCTCTCTGCCGGGGTTTTGCTCAGGATTGGGGTCATTTCTCACTGTTGCTGCTCCCTGGCTGTGCTGCTGGTCAGGGAGAGCTTTCCCTTCTGGCCAGGCACTCACAGCCCACAGCCGCAGGCAGCGGGCAGGGGACGGGCTGCAGTGCTGGAGGCAGGCCTGGTGTTGAGGAGGAACAGAGCAGCGGGCTAATGTCCCTGCCCAGACATTGTGCCCTGCCGAGGGCACCTCCAAACAACCCTTCTGCCTCCCTGCTGCTGCCTTCAAGCCCCACACAGTGCTGGCCGCAGGCAGAAGCCTCCCATGCCCAGAACCAGTCCCCCTGCCTCAGCTGTGCCATGGTGGTGGGCAGTGGGCTCTGGAGCCTGCCTGGGCGCTGTGTTAGGCAGGGGCACGGGTCTGTGGTGGCAGCGGGATGTTCAGGTCACACCTGTGTGTGGAGCAGCAGCCACCTCTCACTGAGTCTGTGCCCTGTGGGTGCTCACCCAAGGTCTGATCGGATGCTTGTGGGGTGGTCCCCACACTTTATCTCAGGCTTGAAGTTGATGACCAAGGCTGTTGAGGTCCCCATGGGGATCTCAGGGTCCCCATGGGGACCTCAAGGTCCCTCCACAGCACTGCAGGAGCTGGGCTGTGTCAGGCTCTACACCATCCAGGGGCCTTCCTGTGGCATCCTGGCCCATAACTGGGGCTGAAGCCAGTGGTGCCAGCTCCTTCCACCCACTCCCCCCAGAGATGGCAAGGGCTGGGGGCTGCAGCAGTCTGGTGGAGATTACACGTTCCAGGGAGTTGTGCTCCCCTGGATTTGAGAGAAGGGAACAGAGTGAGCAGAGCCAGGTTATGGGGGATGTGGGGAAAGGAGTTTATGGGGAGGAGGAGGAGGATAATGCAAATTCATTGTTGCTCAAGGAAGCAGCTTTCAGGCGTAAGGTGCTTTGTCATGAGGGATGTCGGTGCTGCTGCCGCTCTGGAGCTCGTGGGGGCTGGCAGAGCCTCCTGCTTTGGTACTAATTCTGCCCAGGGACTTAACGACCCACCACAGCTGCAGGAGTGAACCAGAGCTTCCGCTTGAGGCTCCGTTGGCACCACGTGGCTTTGCGGAGCTCAGCCGGGCAGCGTGGGTTGCCCGTTCCTGTGGGAGCTCCAGGCACAACTCCCCACACCACACTGGCTCTGGGGCAGTGGTGCTTAAGGGTCCCTATTCCCTGTCCTGTCCAGCACACGGAGCCAGCCTGCCTGGGACAGCCGGTCTGGGCTCTGCGCGGTGCCATCCCCAGCTCTGCTGGGAGGGGCTGGGCAGGGGCTGTGGTCCTGGCAGAGCAGTGAGTGTCATTCATGGCATCACAGGCGTCTCTCCACCGTGGCGTGGGAGGAAGCAGAGGGTCCGGTGTCCCCTCATGGTGGCAGGGGGCAGTGGGTGGCTCAGTCATTGACATCACAACAGGCTGAGATGCCAAAGCAAAATGTCTTCAAATGAGCAGTAATTGCAGGGAAATAAGGAGCACGTGGGGTGAGGGGAAGGAGGGGTCTGTAAATATTATGATTTTTAAAGTTTGCCCTGGAGTCCCAGTGCTTGTTTAACACTAATATCCTATCTGTGCATTTAAAAAGCCTCATAATGAGGATGCAGTGTTTGCTCCTGGAACAACTCCAGCCCGGTGCTCCTCCCTGACCACCTCACCTGTCTGCTGCTCCAGTGGGTCCCAGCCCAGCGCCCACATTGGCATGCCATGTGTACCCCTGCTTGGGGTTGCTCAAACTCCCCTGTCCTGTCCCATGTGCTGACACCCCACGGCCTGCTGCCAAAGCCCCCCAGCAGCCTGAGAGGCTGGTGCACATCTTAGGGGGTGCGTTTTCTTGGGAACTCTTTGTCAGGCAACAGAGCCGGTCTCAGAAAATAGGGGGACTCTGGGATGAGGCATTTTGGGTCCCTGGGTCCATAGTTGCTTGTTCCTTGCATCACCCTCCGTCGTTCCTGCATCACCCTCCATCATTCCTGCCTCCTCCTTCATCCACGCTGGGCTTGGCAGTGGTGGTGGCCCTGGTGGTGGCCTTGGCAGTGGCAGTAACTCTGGCCCCAGTGGTGGTGGTGGCCCTGGTGACCCTGTGACACACGTGGTGCAGCCGTTTCCCCTGCCATGGCCCCCCCACACTGCCCACCTGGCCCACGAGCTCGAGGTGCTCAGCAGCAGCTGCTCTGCCACGGTGCTGCTGCTGCATGTTAATTCTCATTAAATTCAGGGAGCCTAATTGCCATTTCATGTAAATATTTTGTCAAGTGAAAGGGCTTCTGGAAGGGTCGTGTGGGTGGAGGCGAGGAGCCAGGCAGAGTGACAGGCTCGTCCTCCCAGCCAGGGATGCCAAGTGTGTCCCTGCAGTAGCTGCCGTGTGTCCCGCAGGGGGTGGGGTGTGGCCGGCTGCTGGAGGTCCCTGTGCACTGATTGCTCGTGCCAGATGATGGGGGACATAGGATGGCTGCAACCAGGGCACTGTTCTGTAGAGAGCACTGAGGGTCCTCTCCCTGCCTGGGTGGCTGAAGGGCAAAGGAGGGAGGGGTGACACAGGGGGCCATAGGACATCCCCAGATGGTAGCCCAGCCACTCTCCTGCTCTGCACGGTGCTGGCAGCTCTTGACAGAGGTTGAAGATGCCCAAGGCCCCCTCCTGTCCCCCACCATGGGCCAGGAACTTCTCAGTGAGGTGGATTTTTTCCCTGGATCCCATTAAACTTCCACATGCTTTCCCTGCATTCCTGCTCCCCTCCCAGTGCCACAGCTGCTGTTTCAAATACTGTCCATGTCGTGGTAACAGTCCCCTCCTCACCTGGTGAGATCATGCCTGGGTGCTCCACCTTTGGGAATTCAGAGCAGGCGGGGTCTCCAGTGACCCCTGAGAGCTGCTGGAGTAGGAGGAAGGAGCAGGGAAAGATGGAGAGGAGGTTTAACAGGGTGCAGAGGAGGCTTGTTGGTCCCTTATCGCTGTCCTGGTCTGTGCCCTGCACTGGGGCAGTCCCTGCAGCCAAGGCACTGGGGACGTGGGACCCTCCCCTCGCAGCACGGCGGCTCAGATCCGTCAGCACCTTCATCTAATCGCTTTATGTCTATGACTAACTACTAATGAGCTTTTAATTAATGAATACCATGGCTTGGAGGCATTCTGGAGCGGGTGGGAGAAGAGGATTAGGCGGGTGCTGTGTTCCCTGGGTGCTGCGGGGCCACCGGCACTGCATTCACGGGATGTGGGCAGGCTGGAGCATCTGACCTCGCGGTCTGACCTCACTAGTCTGACTTCACCGGCCCTTGTGGCAGTGGCTGCACCTCACCTGACCTGCAGCCCTCTTTTAGCAGCTCTCCCAAGCATCAGCATCCAGCTTTGCCCTGTAGATGCATGCTGCAGGGGCCGTGGGGGTCCTGTTAAGCACTAGACACTGGGAGCCCGCACTGCACCAGCCCACCCGTGGCTGTGCCCCCACGGCAGGTCCATGGGCACTGCCTCATCCCTCTCTGGGAGAGGATGAGGGATGGCTCCTGGTGAGGAGTGCAGTACCAGGGGCTGGATTTCCCATTGCATCCCATGGGTCAGGATCTGGACATAGCGTTGGGGCAGACCTGGGAGGGCAGCAGCTCTGACGTGTGCTCAGGGCTTAGTGCGGTGTGTGCAGGACCCTGGGCACCTGGATGTGCCGCAGCCATGCCATGCCAGCAGCCTGTGGCACCACCCACTCGGGGGGCCTGAGGGGGCTGGGGCTCTGGGCAGACCTTGGGGCCTCATTCCTGGCAGATAAAGGTTCCAAATGGTGGAGTGTGCCTCAGAGGGGAGCCGAGCTGTTCTAGCATTTCCCTGGGAGCTGCCAGCACCGCACTGGCTGCTGGTACATCCTGGATACCTGGAGCGACTGGATGTGCCGCACTGTCCCCAGCAGGTTCCCTTGGTGGTGGTTTGGGGGGGGTGTGCACGTCAGCTGTCCCACTGCAGGCTCTGCCCCTTGGCTCCAGCACCAGAACAGTGGCCAAGACCACTCCTGTCCCAGTGCCATGTTGTTCTCCCTCTCCCAGAAAACAAAACGAAGGAGCCCTCAAGGGTTCATTTAAAATAAATAAAAAGCTGGGAATTGTGCTGATTTGAAGGAAAGGCAGTCCCATCCTGTGTGGGGGAGCACAGTGCCAACCCAGCCCCGAAGGGCAGAGAGAGATGTGCTGAGAACTGCAGCCCTGTGCAGCTTCTGCCTTTGATCGTATATCTCACACATGCCCTTTGCTTTCCCTCTGCTGATATTTATTAGGTTTAATTTTACTGGGACACGGCTGTAAGTGAGACAGATGGAACAGGGTCTGTGCGCCTGGTGAACACATCTTAATTAAACAGATAAATAAACTTTCATTCCAGGAGGCTTCAGTTTCAGAGGGTCTCCTCCAGGGCTGTGGCTCCGCCGGGCTGGGCAACCCTGGCCAGCGCTCCTCGGGGCTGGTGCCACCGCTGGTGCTGTCAGCTGGGGCTGTGGCACAGTGTCACTGGGAGCAGCAGGGTGAGGGAAACCGGCCGCTGGTGGCTGGGAACACATTCCCCACTGGAGCTGTGGGATTGGTGTTGCCCTGCCATGCTGGAGTTCCGTAGGGCTCCCTGCTGCTGTGGGGCATCTGCAGCCAGGCAGGTGTTGGCAATGGCTGGAGGAGGGAGAGAGGAGACTCCCAACATCCCACACTCCTCAGTTCCCAGAGCCGGGCCCATTTTGCTGCTGGCTCAGGGCAGTGCCAGCACTCGTGGTGCTGCCACGGGCCAGGAATGCCTTTGAGTCACCCTGGCCGGAGCCAGGCTCTGGCGCGGGGGAGGGCGGGCAGATTACCTCATCCTGGAGCCGGCCTCTGCCTCACGGGGTTTGTTTGGTTGGGCACCGCCAGGCCGGCGTGCCAGGCAGTGCCCTGCCCTTGTCACCTCCGGGAGCTGCAGTGGAGCCAGACCAGCCCAGGGCCTTCAGAGCTGCCCATCAGTTTGCTCAGGGTGCCCCTCACCGCTCAGGGTCTGTGTGGTGCCTGGGTGCGTGCAGGTGCCTCAGGGGGCCACTCTCCCCTCAGCTGCTTGAGGGACTGAGGGAGGACCCACTTGTGCCTTAGAGAGCTGTCCCACGTCCTGCCCCGGGTGCTGGAGAGTGTGGCACTGGGGCCGTGGGGCTTCCGAGGAAGGGGAGCTGGAGGCGAGCGGGAGCGCGGGGTCCAAGCACTGTGGTGTGCCGGAGGGGCCACGTCCTTGGAGCTGGATGGCGAGCAGTCATGGTGGGACACCCGTGCTCCTCGCAGGGAGCAGTGCCCGGGGATGCCGTTGGCAATGGAGTGGATGTCGCTGCTGGATCCTTTCAGCGCTTGGTTCCGGGGGGTGATGGTGTTGACAAACCCTCCCCCAGCCTGACATCCTCTCCCCAATTTGGCACCTCGTGGTCCCTATGGAGCGTGGTGCCCCCAGTCACAGAACCCCACAGGAGGGGCTGGTGCTCCCTAGGCCCCAGACACTGCTTCCTCAGGACAGCTCTTCCAGAGCAGGTTTTTCCTGTGGCTCCAGGCCGGCCGTGCCACATGCTGCTGCTCTGAGTGTCTGCAGTAGAAACGGGAACCGCTGTGAGTGTACCAGGACACTGCAGCATGTCACTCTGCCTGGGGATACTGTGGAAAATCCCAGCTCCAAAAAGGGCTGGTCGTGTGCTGGAGGCTCCGGCGGAGACAGAGCATCAGCAGCTGCTGGCACAGCCCTGCCTTTGTGCATCATATTTGGCCAAGATGGAAACTGAGTTGAGCCCAGGTTTTGTTTCCCACATACCCCATCAGAACACCATCCTGGTGGCCTTGGTCATGGCTCCAGAGCCAGGCACGATGCAGTGCCAGGGCGTGGGGTGCTGGGGAGGGACCCCTGTGCCAGTGCTGAGCTCTGTGGCACCAGAGGGGGCCAGGGCTGCTGTGGGGCTGTGGACGGGTGGAGGTGTGAGGTGGGACGGAGACCCGAGCGAGCACACGTGTGCGCCCACGCCGGCGGTCCCTCACGGGCACCTACACGTAGGCTATTGCCATGGCAGCTGTGACAGCGGTGTGTGTGGTGTGGATGCGTCAGGGCTGCTGGCAGCACTGCAGGCCCCTCGGAAACGCCAGAATGCCTCTCGAGCTCTGCTGAGGCTGACCACCGGCCGGCCTGTGGTTCTTGGGGCAGAGGGTCCCCATCGCTCTGGGGAATGCAGGGGAGCCAGCATCAGCAGGCAGGGCCCCTCGTGTCACCCCAGGGTGCAGGAGTTCCCGCAGCCCTCCACACCTGGGGGACCGGCAGGCTGGCGGGGGGTCACAGGGCCCTGCCTGGGGCTCCCACGCCTCGGCAGGGCCCAGCAGCTGTGCCCAGGGCACGCAGGCGGCGGTGAGGCCGTGGCTGCTCCATAGGGAATGCCGTGGGCTGCTGGCCCTGCCCGCGGTGGCGCAGGCCCGTGGCGGTGCGGCAGTGGCTGCGGGGCCACGCGGGGCTGCAGGCGGGAGCGGGTCGGTGGCTCCCGGAGAGGCGGAGCTGGGGCTGCTGCATGGTGTCCCCGCCGGCACGGCCACCCTGCCGTGGCAGCTCCCACCGAGAGCGTGGCACGTGTGCACGTGTCCGGCGGTGTGTGCATGGGGAGCCCCGGCGGCCCTGCCATCGCGGGGGCTGCGCGGCTGGAAGTGCCGGCTGCTCGGCACGGCTTCCCCTGGCACCCACGTTGCACCATCGAAACTCCCCGTAAGACCCTTCTTCCCCTGGGAGCCAGCGCTGGGAAGGGAGACAGCTCTGCCCGCTCGGCCCCATCCTGCCCGGCTGCTTCCCCAGCGTGTGGCCGGGGCGGCGAGGACAGCAGGGAAGCCATCTGCGAGCGGCGGCGGTGGAGGGGTTAAGTGCGGGATCAGCTGTTCTCATGTCATTACGGATTCTCTTCATTTTATACAGAGCTCTGTTTGATGTCTGAATGCACAGGGGACTCCCCCTCCTCCTCCAACTCCCACCCCTTTTATTTCACTCCCAAGCCCTCTCTCCTTCCTCCTCCCCTTCCTTTCTCTCCCGCTCCGCTCTGGCTCACGCACACCCTTTGCAGACCGTGCGCTCAGTGCCAGTGTCTAATGGCCCCGAAGTGAAGAGCCGAGCGCTGCTCCGGCGGCAGCGCGGCCGGCCTGCCACAGATGAACCCTCCTAACTAGCGCCGAGGGGTCGGGAGGGACGGCGAGGAGGGGAGAGCCCGAGGGGCCAGCCGGGAAGACGAGGATAGCGGTGGATAGCAGTGTGCGGAAGAGGACGGACCCGCGAGCAGCTCCACGGCTACCTGTCGACACATGCTGTGCTCCATGGCTAACTCGGGCTGCCTCCTTGTCTCCAACTCAGGCATGCTTCCTCACTCTCTCCCCTGTCCTCCAGCCTTCCTCTACCTCCAACAGGTAAGCAACCCTCTCCAGGGGATTTTCTTGCTTTCCGGTTCACACGTGTTTCTGGCTGGTTCCCTCTCTGCGGAGGGTCAGAGCTTGACAGCTTCCTCCCAGCCTATCCCCTCCAGCCCCGCGGCACCGGGTCCTCGGCTGCGGCTTTGGGGGGTTTCTGTGGTTTCCCCGCTGAGGTGACGGGAGCGCGGCCGGGGCTGGAGCGTGGCTGAGGCGCGGGCAGTGCAGCAGGCAGAGCCGCCGGCGCGGGTCCAGCGCTTCCCCGCCTCGGCACTGCTGCCGCTTGGCGATGATGGATGCTCGGATAAAGGAAAGAGGCTCCTGCGCGGCCTGAGCAGCCTCTGGGGAGAAGGGAAGGTGACGAGCTTGTGTGTGCACATGCGTGTGCACATACGTGTGTGTGTGTGTGTGCTGTCACATCGCGCGTGCCCGCAGCCAGGCCGGGTTTGTCTCGCTGTCACAGGAAGGTGCTGCAGAGGGACTGGGGGACACAGCGCCAGGCGAGTCCCAAGTTTGGGTGGCCCAGATGGAGGGTGCTGGGGCCGTCAGTTTGGTCCTTTACCCTGGCCGGGATTTTGCTGTCCCACGGGGCTGCCCTGATTCCTGCACTGGACCCAGTGCCCCGGGTTTCCAGGCTCATCATCCCGGGGGAGGCGTAGTTTGGGAGAGGCAGCATCTTCTTCAAATGCCTCTTTGCTGCATCGGAAATCCCATCTCCCAGCCAGGCAAACCACTCCATTTGTGCTTTCAGGAGTTTAAAAATTCATGGCGTGGCCGGCACGGTTCACCCGGCGGCAAGGACAGGCACCGGTGCCAACCCTCCACTCCAGCCCGAAGGGCTGTGGAGTGTTTTGTCCCTTGGGATGTCCGTGGCCGGTGTCCAAGTGGGGTCGCAGCCGGAGTGTGGCCGCTGGTGGAGGGGATGGCAAGGCCGTGGTTGCTCTCTCTGGTGCGTGGGCGATGGGGCTGGTGAAGCTGGTGCTGGTTACACGAGCACGGGGCGCGCGGGGGCTGCGGCAGGGGCTGCTGAGGCGGGTGTGTGATTTATTGCACCCTCCTGCGGGCAGAGCCTGGGGAGAGCCAGAGCTGCTCCGGATTTCACTCTCAGCCTCCCCAGGCTGCGTCAAGTTCCCTGAGGCTGCTGCACCTCTGACACCAAGCAGAAACCATCCCTGAGCCCCCACCCGTCCTGGAGGGTAGTTTCTGTCCCTCTGAAGGGAGCACATGGATGCTTTGGAATGGAAGCCAGAACGGGGCCTGGAGCCTCTGTTGCAGCACAGGAGATGTCCCTCTCGGGCCGGGATCCCCTTCTCCCTGGCCACACGAGGGGCTCAGCTGTGCCACTCTCTTGCCCTGCGGAGCACTCTGGCGTGGATTGGCTGTGCTGCCTGCGGCTCACGGTGACAGGGACAGCAGCATGGTGGGCAGATGAGGGCTCCTGGTGCCCACAGGGCTGGGCAAAGCGGAGCTGGGGATCCCTGGGAAGCAGCAGCTTTCCCAGATGTGTGGCTCTGCACTTGGTGTCTCCTGGTTCCCCCATTGCCCTGCCTGGTTTGATTTGACCATCGTGTTCTGCATCTCTTCCTCCCTGCTCTCCCAGAAGCCTTCTGCTCCTTGGCAGCATCTCCGGACTTGCGAGCCAGGAGGAGGGTTTTATTTCAAGATTTGGAGTTGGATTTTCACCCAGCTGAACACAATGGAGGCAAAAATCTCCATCCTCTTCCTGGGGTTTGTCACCTGCAGAGGTTCTGCACCCGGTGCCTGGGGACAGGTGTCTCCCAGTACATGTCACAACAAGGCATCAGGCAGAGGGATGTCACTGGCAGCCATCATGTGGGGCAGGGGCACAGGGCATGGGCTCCACCAGGCCCCTCATCCTGCCCAGGTGAGCAATGGGCCTGCCTGGCACCTGCTTTAGTCCTGAATTTGCTCTGGATTTTGGATGTGCCCACCTGTGCCACCTGCACTGGAGGAGCACAGAGCGAGCAATGCTGCCTGTGCCCGTGGGCACATGCCCGCTGCAGAGCTGGCCCTGGTCAGCTGGCTCAGCTCACCTCTGCGTAGCAGGGACACCTCAGGGGGTTCAACCGACTCTGCACAAGTTAGTTGTGTCCTGAAGTCTGTGGGGGGCTTGGTTTTGACCCCCTGACTTACAGCTCCCTGTCCAGGTGTGGGGATTTGTAGTGGGGCACCTGGGGTGGGCACATACCGTGATCGTAACTGATTCACTGGCTGGGAAATGAGTCTGCTGGACTGGCCAGGGGGTCAGGAGCTGGGAGGCTCCAGGGTCTGCATGCACTAGCTGCCATCATTCCTTTGGACACATACTCTCCCTTGCCAGGAGTTTGTGGCATGGGCTGGATTTGTTCCTCAGTGTGCTACCTGTGTTTCATAGCTCCCGGCCCCAGTGTTCTCCACAGTGCCAGGATTTGAAGGAATGACGAAGAGATGAAGTTCTCAGGAAAACTTCAGTTCTCCCAGCGCCAGGGAGAGCTCATCAGTGCCAGTGGCTCATCCAGGTGCTTGCAGGTACTTGTGGGTACCAGCAGCTCACTCTGCTCCGCTCACCCCATGTGACCACCCTGGCCTGGCCACAGGAGCCACGGTCCACAGCATTCTGAGTGCTGTGTCCAGGAATTCCTCCCAGCGCTGACATGCTCCAGGAGTGGTGCCCCTGGGGGGCCAGAGGCTGCAGGAGGGTGGGTCTATGCCCCTGGCAGAGCAGCCTGTGCCCACAGGAATGCTGTGTCCTTCGGTGGGGCTTGGCGGGGACATTTGGCTCTTGCTCAGCAAGGACCTGGTGCAGAGGGACACTTTGGTGGCTTCATTTCATGAACAGAGGAGTCGGTCTCTACCTAAAACTGCTGTTATGAGTGTGCAGTTGATGGCTGCAGGACAGGGCTCAGCACTGACCCAGAACAGACCCAGGCTCTGAGCGTCAGAATCAGTGCTCGACCCCAGCGCAACCTCGGCACAGGCAGTGATGCATGTGCAGCTCTGGCCTCAGTACAGGTTGATGTACAGGTGTGCTGAACCCCACTGCAGCGCTGCCCCTGAGCTACTGCTGGGAACATCCCTGGTGCCCACGGTCACACTGTGGCGCAGGAGACTTGGCTGAGCAGTGCCCGGCCCGCTGGGAAACAGCCTCTGCAAATCCTGCTTGGAAAATTCCTTTCCAAGAGGGTTGCTGCCAAGTTTAGCATGTTATATTTTTAGGGAGCAGGTCTATTCCGAGCAGTGTTGTCGTGTGTTGCAGCAGCGGGTTCAATTCAAACCGGGTTTCTCCCCCTGCCTGCGCGTCGCACGGATACGAGACCTGGCACGGTGGCTCACGGCTCTGGCCGTGCTGTGGCAGCTGCTCTGCTCGGTGAGGACCAGCCTTAAAGCCACCAGAAACATTTTCTGCTTTTTGTATACATACATATATTGAAAACATTGACATTAATTTTAGCTTTGCAAAGCTGCTTTTCCCACAATAGCTGTGATTTTGGCCCACACTGCCTGGCAATGCTCTTTTTATAGGTATATTCCTATTTTAGTGCTATAGTGATGGGTGAATGAGTAGATTAAATTAGATTTAGTATCTGTCATTCTTTAAGCATCACAGGCGGTTGGGGGGGTTAACAAAGAAAGGCTAATTAGGACAGTGAGCATGGGCCGCCCCCGCCAGCTCCACTGCCCTGGCCCTGCGGCTTCCTCCACTTGGGGACCAGCATCCAAATAGGAAAATGCTTTTGAAACCTGATTTTCTTGCACTGCCCCTGGGCCCGCATGGCCCCGGGGCCTGCAGCCAGGGCTGGGCGGGACAGCGGGTGCTGCAGCCAGGGCACCCCAGGCACCTCCATGAAATTCAGTCACTTGGCTCTCCAGCTACTGTCCCCATGGGCACAGCGACTCCCGTGCGTGGGGGCACTGTGCCTGTGGAATAATGGGCTTCCATGGAGGAGCTGGGGGCACCAAGGGGCACTGCAGCTCCTCCAGGAAGGGTCTTAGTACCTTTGGTGCAGCTGGTTTTGGCAGGCAGGTGTGGGGCTGGGTGCCAGGAAAGTGTAGGGAGCCTGGGGAAGTGCCAGTGTTGGGAAGGCCAGGAAGGGCACCTGAGCTCAGAAGGGAACCAAATGTCCAAGGAAGGAACTGGATCTTCCCAGTGCCAGTGTGAACCTGGCAGCATGTGGCCAGGGGCTCTGCAGTCCTGGCCATGCCGTGGCTACTGGCCTGATGATACACCAGTGCCATTGAGCAGGGCTGGGAGCTGTGGGCTGCCACAGGGTTCACCCCTCTGCTGCCCCTGGGCAACCATGGCAAGGCTTTAACCTGCACCACCTCCTTCAGTGTGCCTGCAGCCAGCAGGGAGCAGGTGTCCCCCCTCTCTCCAGCACGTGACAGGGTTTGTGGTGGCATCACCTGGTGCTGCGGGCATTGCCATCCAGGTGTCGGGTGCAGTTCCCAAATCCCATACAAGCCCTGCTGTACCCAGCCAATGTCCCAAGCCCGGGTTCTCACTTCACCCCCCTGATGGCTTCCTGAGCATCCAGGCTGGTGCTGTCAGGGCAAGCGCCTGCAGAGCCCGGTGAGGATTGTGTTTTCCAGCATATTCCTGTCCCCATTTTTTCACCCAGGCTGGCTGGGTCATGTCTGGGGAGACACTGCTGGTGGAAACAGAGCTCAAGCCTCCGGGTCTGAGCCATGAGCCAGGGCCGTGCTGGCTGCATCCCACTCCAGCTGCATCCCCACTCCAGCTGCCTGGCAGGACACACAGGTACCGGCTGTACCCACTCGTCCCCCCTCAGCAGCACCAGTTGGGGTGTGTGGACAAAGCCCCTTATGTGCACAGGAGCTTCCCAGGGAGGGAATCGAGGGAAGGACGTGTGGGTCCTGCTCTGGTGCAGGGTTGGAGAGCCAGACTGAGCCCTGGCTCCAGGCTGGAGTTCCCCAGAGTGAGCTGAGCCCTGATTCTGTGCTGGGGTCCCCCAGGGGAGCAGCAGCAGGACTGTCCCTTT